AAGCTAAAATCTTTCAATTTTGCCTCCAGCCAGACTTGAACCATTGACCTTGACTGTGGAGGGTATGGGAGCTTAACCGCTAAGCTATGAGACCCACACTCTCGAACTTTTTAAATTTAATCTATTGAATTTACTTATAACTTCATTATATTATTTTATATATGAATAATATAAATAAAAGGTTTATATAATTTGGCGCATATGCATTTTAACGCACCCACCTGATCAGCCAATCAGATCGTAATATCACGTGTAATGTAAAATTGAAAGAATTTCTTTGCAAAATTTTGATATAAGAATAGCTTTTACTATTATTTAGTACTGACCTATCTTAAACCTGACCCTCTCTTACCCTAAATTAATGTGTTAATTGTTTTGTTTTGATTTTACGTTACACATTCAAACTTTTATTAGATAATTATTATATAGATTTGAAATAATTTAAGATAGAATTTGTGATTAAAATTTGTTTAATTTTGTTATATGGAATTTTGATATATAAATAAATATTTATATATTTGTTTGAGTTTGTTTAATTCTAAATTTTAAATTTTATAGGTTTTATTAATATATATAATACTAATATAAAGGAATTAAATAAAGTATAATCTATTAAGATAAGTAAATCTACCAATCAGGTTACTGAATTTTAAATCAAAAAAAAGAATATTAGGTCAAATTTGATATATCAGAAACAGGTTATAATTCTTTTAGATTAATCGAATTAAAAGTTTGAAAATAAACTAAAAATATACTAAAATATTAAAAATATTCCATAAAGTTGATACTAAAATTTGGGTAAACTTTAAAAAACATAAAATAAATAGATTATTTAATAAAATAACATTGAATTTATTGTTAAATAATATGTTCTAAAATAGTAATAAGTTATATAAAAAATGAAATCAAACTTGAATAATTTTTAATAAGAAGCAGTATAAAGTTAATAATAAAATGAATTAGCATTATATAGATATTGAATTAAAAATGTTAAAAAGTTTAAATAAGACACAAGTAAAAATCAGATATAACATTTAGTAGGTAATTTTAGAATAATACCTTTAAAAACAATGATTAAAGTTATATATATTACTAACTGTACTTTCACTAACTAAAAATGTGCTTAAGTTAATATCAACAAATAAAACCGATGTGACCAAATAGTTGAATGCTCATTAAAAAAAAAGTTTCAAATAATTTATGGCTTGTAGCTCTTGTCAGTAGAACTATAGAAATTAGAGAATTTAAAATATATTTTAAAAAGATATTAATATTTTGATAAAAAACACAAATTCAAAAAAAAACTTCGGAATCAATACTAGAGCTATTATGTTTTAATTACCTGAATTCTTGGTTGATCATGTAAAATCTTGTTGTTACTGTAAATTTCATCATATTACAAAATGTCATTAACAGATCAAAATAAAGATAATCAATGTTTCACCGTATGTACTAAGCAATTTACGAAACCTAATTTTAAATATTGGATAACTTATAATTTTGAAATTCTCTATGTTAGTGTGACCAAAAAATTTTATATGATTAAATCAATTGAAAATGATCTGAGAACACAAGTTTGCCTTGTCAAAAAACTTCAAAAACTTTTATGAAATAATCTGTGCCGTACATCAAGCAACAAAGCATGTTGTTCAAAACAAAATGTGACCAAAGTTTTTTTAAAAAATAAATAAATAAATACAGTATAAAAGTTATATACTTGGTAAAAAAAAAAAATCTAGTGATTTGTTCATTTGGTTATTTAAGTAATTTAAATATAAACATCCCATACTTGTAATTATACATAGGTGTCTAAATCATACCTTTTAATAAAAAATTATTTTGGCATTTAGTTTATCGAAAATTAATTTTTCATAGTAACGAAATTAATTTTCATATTTGACGAAATTTTTTAGTGAAATTATTTATGTCAATACATTAGGAAATATAATTACTTTGTGAAATTTGTATAAAAAAAATTAACAGTGTCGAAAAGTTTGTCGAAAAGTTTGTCGAAATTGCTTTTTTAAACAAAATAATTTAGTGTACGTACTTGTAATTATTGCTATAATAAGGATATAATAAAAATACAGTCAACTTAATTTTATTAGTAATATTTTTTGATTATTTTAACAAATAAATAAATATATATATATAATAATTAAATTACTATTTAATGTTATTAAAATGATCTATAAAGTATATATATATTTTTTACATTACAACATTTTTTTCATTTTTTTTATAAACGAATATAAAAAGTATTTTAAAAATCGAAAAAGACATCTTTCTCTAACGATTTCCTTATTCGGTAATCCTTCTCATGGTTTTAAATCTCTCATTTCCGTATCCATAAATCCCATAATTCTTTATGTTTGTTTAAATAAAATTTTCCAAATTGAATATGCTTAATTTTAATATAAGGTAAGTTGGTTGAATTTCTTTAACCCCGATAATAAATAAATAAATAAACAAACTAATAATAATATTATACGTAGTCTATATACATATAAATATAGATATACTATGTATGCCATGTACATTTATATCTACATTCTTATGAAATACGTATATATATTTTCTACGTACAGTACATAAAAAGTTTTACGTATTATTTCGAAACGCATGGACTGTGAGTATAGATTCTACATTTAGCATTAGTTACATACGATCTTGTTTATACATAGTCATGTCAAAGAAGTGCATATATAGTATATATAATAAGTACATCATCTGACAATCCTAAAACCAATAAGAATTAATCGATATAAAAAAAAATAATAATACAATATTGAATATGTAATACTATAATGATAAAAGATCAATTATTATTTTTTTTTGTTTAATCATTTATTGTATAAAAAACAATCATATTTGATATCATATCAAATGATGTTACTATTTAGAATCGAGGTTAAAAAAAAAATGAATGAATGAATAAAAAATACGTTTTCATTACATAATTTAATGAAAAAAAAAGAAGCGGTAGTGATAAAATAGAGTACTTAATGAAAAAAAAAGAAGCGGTAGTGATAAAATAGAGTACTATTCTTAACGTTTTAAAAATAATAATAGAATTTTAATAAATCATTAATAAATCATACTCTAAAAAGATTTTTTTTTTCAACAAGTTAAATAAATATGGATTTTAAATTCATTCTCATTATATTTATATAACCTTTAAAAAAAAAAAAATGACGATAATGATATTTTAGTGATACATACTAGAGTAATTATCTATATAGTCTATTATATTTGTATAAAAGAAAAATCAGTCCTGTTTTTTTATTTTTTAGTTTTTTTTTTTGCGATTCGTTCAACTCACTTTGCAACGTTAAATATTTTGTGTAAAACGTTAGTAACGTTGTAAGATGGAGGAAACAGTACAACATTTGGACTCGGATATAAAAATCGTAATGTTTAATAATCATATAATAATCTTATAATAATCTTATAATTAGTTTTAATAACCAAACTTTATAAAACTTTTATTTTTTTTTTAATTCATTCTTATAATTTCAGGATGAATATTATAATCCAAAAAAATTGAAAGAAAAGAAAACCCGTCGAATTAAAAAGGTAAAAGTTGAAGAATAGGTAACATAAAATAATATAAAATATATATATATATATATATAAGTAACGTTAGATAAACGTTATTTTTTACCCAAAATTTTCAATAAAATAGGCACCATTAAAGTTTGAAAATCATTCATCAACTCCTACATGTTTCGATATTTTAAAAAAAACGAAAAAACGTCCAAAAATTGAAAATGAAGAAGACGATGATAGTCAAGATGATAATTATGATCAAGACAAAAAAACAAACCAAGAAATTATCATGCAAAAAAAGAAACCACAAACATGGACAAAAGAAGAGGACGCAATGTTACTTGAATTGATTCATAAACATGGGTTTAAAGCTAGTATCATTAGAGAAGAAATGGGAAGGAAGCGCGGGTTATCTTCTTATACTTCACGATGGGAAGTATTAAAGAAAAAAGCTCTCACTTAAGCTTGCTAATCTTGTTAATTTTATCAATCTTGTCAAAAGATACAAGAATGGGCTAATAAATTTCAAATTTGCTTTAAAAGAAAACTTTACACGTAAATGTAATGATCTGCAGTGTGTCAATGTAAATTATCCGAGTGCTATGACTTATTTGGAAAACACTTAGTTTATAAAGTTTATTGAAATACCGATACGTAACAAGAAAAAAACAATGGTTTTAAACAAAATTTTTTTTTCAAAAATTCCTACTAATCTAAAAAAAATAAAGAAAAAAAAAATGAAATGAAAAAAAGATAGAAAAAAATGAAAGATAAAAATAAAAGTTCTTTCATATGGTTCTCGTTAATAGTGAGAACACATCATTCAATTGTCTTTATAGCTTATATACAAATGCTAACGTTTGACCTCCCAGCGTGAACATAGTCAAACGGTCCTAATTACTACGATACCTTCTTCTATTAACATTATGAACATTAATATACAAACAAATAAAATTCCACCTTATGAAAATCGCAGGAAAAAAAAATGTCCTAGAGTCCTTTAAAAAGAATATTCTTAAAAGAATACTCTCAAAAGCCGATAAAAAAAAATAATAAAGTAACGATGCCTTATGTCCGTACATAAATGTATAATAAATTTTTTTTCTTTTTTTTTTTTTTTTTTGTGTGATGATTTTCCTCCCAAATAAGCATAATTAATGTAGCAAAAAAAAAAAAAAAGAAAAAAAAGAAAGAAAAAAAGAAAAAAAAAGAAAGGGGGAAAAAGTAAAAAAAATAAAAATAAATAAAGGGGAAAAAAGATAAAACTAAGCGCTTTCCTTAACGCACTCCAGGAGAACTCCTACACTTGAGTAGTAAAACCATTATTTTCGAAGCATTCCTCTCAAAGCAATTTGCTTTTCAACGTTATCAGGTCTTGGGAAGGGCATTTCATAACCGCGCATGGGACCCGCGGTATGAAAGAGTTTAGGACGGTATTCGGGAGTTTCCGACATAACACTAAAAAACAACAATAATAAAAAACAATAATAATAAAAATAATAAGTAGAAGTATTTAATAAATATAATAAATATAAGAATAATTACTATTATTACTATTATTACTAAATAATATAATTCACAAAAAACACATATGTACCCGGAATTTCTAAACTTTTGGATAAGCGCGTTTTTACCCTGGACATTGGCATACGACAATTCGCAAATCTTGTCAGAGTTGAAACTCGGCCTTTGAAAACGGGTATTATTTGTTACAAAGGTTAGTGATAATCGTATAAAAAACTTTTAACGTAAATAATTTTAACGAAATAATGAAAATGTAAATACCATTTTTTTCCAACGCGTGCTTCAGCAAAAGAAAGTACGGCACTTTTTGCAGCAATATTATAAAATATTAAAAATATTAAAATATTAGATAAAATATTAATATTAGATAAAATATTGATAAAGAAAAATTTTACCTGACATCTACAAAGTTAATAAAAGCGTATCCGACATTACACTTATTTTTAAAATCGATACGTAAGTAGACGAAATCGTATTGACCACAATGGGTTTCGTCTAGCCAATCCAACAGCATTCCCTAAATTTTACGCAAATAATTTAAGAATTAATAATTGTAAGCAATAACTTGATAATACAATATATATTGATAATATATTCATTGATAAATCATTGATAATAGAATGTACCTGAGTATACTTGTTTGGAATGTTTCTAATCATGAATGTGGTACGGTTATCAAGGCCTATTATGAAATATGAAGTATGAAATATGAAAAAAAAAATCAAAAAATAGAGTAAAAATTAAGAGAAATTAAAATTAAAAATACCAATTCTAATTCTTTCAAGATCAAGGGCATTCTTCTCTGGGATAGATCTGTTACCAGATGAAATCACGGTACTATTTTCGGGTGGTGATGGAGAAAATTTTGCCAAATCTTCCGATCTATTTTCTAGATCCGGTGAAGGGGCAACAGGGAACTGACGCGGAGGCGGAGGAATGGCCAAACCAGTTTTTTGATGACGTTTGAAGTCATCAGCAACTGCATCCCATGACTGTGAACCGGCATCATAATATTGGACACGGATTTGAACGCCCTATATTTAAATAAATATAATATAAATAGTGGATAAATATAAATAATGAATAAATGATAAATAAGTATAAATGATAAATAAGTATAAATAAGTATAAATAAATATAAATAATAAAGAATGAAATTTAAACGATAGAAATATAAAGAATTATTAAAGGATATTACACAATTAGCAAAAATCAAATCAAGATACCTCAATAATTATGCCATTTATCGATTCTTTTGCAGCACGAGCAGCGCGTGTATCGTAGTATTCAATAAGAAGGACCAGAGTTTGTCCAGCTGAAAGGGATCTGGCAATTCTAATCGTACCCACTTCGTCGAAACGATCCTTATAATAAAAAAAGAAATTAATGATCGACAAAAAATTTCCTAAAAAGAGCATAAATGTACATACCAAGATTGCAGATTTAATTGATTGTGCACCAAACCAAGAAACCATGATGACACCTTCGTTCATCCAATCACACTCATTACCTTGGATTTTTGGCAATTCCTATTTTTTTTTTATAATAATAATAGTAATAATTAATAATTATTTGAATAATACGTAATAATTATTTGAATAATACGTAATAATAATAATAATAATAATTTGAATAATACGTAATAATAATAATAATTTGAATAATAACAATTTGAATAATAATAATAATAAATTTAATAATGAATAGTATTATTTTAATAATACAATTATAAATGCAATTATAAATGCAATTATAAATGCAATTATAAATGCAATTATAAATGCAATTATAAATGCAATTATAAATGCAATTATAAATGCAATGATAAATACAATTATAAATACATTAAATTATTAGTATTATTATTAAAATTGATATTACCGCAATTAAAAAATTATATAATAGAATACAAAAGTATATAAAGTATATAAAAGTATATAAAAGTATATAAAAGTATATAATAGTATAAAATAGTATATGATATAAACATACCTGAACAGCGCATGGTTTAGAAGAAAACTGGATTTCCAATCTACGCTGATTATGAGGCGCGTCTTGATGACGAAGAAATTGGTGTGCCTTGACAGCGTCACGAAGATCATAATAGATCACATAAGCATAACCGATTCCAGCAAGAATTTCTTGGACGTCACCATAAATCTAATATGAAAAACGCGTAAAAATTTGGAAATTAAAAATCAACAGTGGCGCAGTAGGATATTTAATAAATTAGAAGATTACCTCGAAAATTGATCTCATGTGGCGCCAAAGGTTAACGTCAGTAGGAAAATTTGAGACATACAACCACCTAGAAGGCAAAGCACCCCAAGTACAACCAAACATCTCGGAACCATTTAAAGTTGATTTATGACCAGCAGAGGTTACGACTGGAGAAGGGGTCGACGGCCTTGTTTCAGATTTTGACACAGCTGGAGGGAAACAAAATAGACCTTGACCAGATTTAGAGATTGAAATTGTCTCTTCAACAGTAGTTTGTTCCTTTTGCGGACCAACATATAATTTTGCGATCTGACGAGCAATCGACTCCTCATCATATATACTGGATGGAGTACTAGGAGGCGTAAGATTAAAAGAGCAACATCCTTGAGTAAAAGTGACAGCACGAGAACTATGGTCTTTAGACACATTTCTAGAGACGTCCATGTTATCTTGCAAAAAAAAAAAAAAAAGTATAAATTTCATGTTTCATGTTTTAATAATAATAATAATATTATTAATAATATTAATAATTTAATGATATACTTACTATTAAAAGACAACTTACGGTTTTTTCTTCCGGAGGTACCAAAATCCGTCTCGGAATTGATAATATTAGCTATATCTCGCAATACATTAGTGCGGGGCGCCGGAGTAGAAGGAGGCGAAGGTAAGGATAATCGCTAAAATAAGAATAAGAAGGATGACGCGATGAAAATGAATTGTATGCGTTACAAAACGCGCCGATACAAAATTATAAAGTTTATTATAGATTATGACGTGACCAAATTGGTCAATGAAAGGTACCTTTTGATCAACGGAAGAGTCAAGCAATGTAACATCAGTCATGGGAGAATCCGCAGTCAATGACTTGATTTTCTCCATTAATTTCTAATGAATTTTAAAGATTTCTAAAGATTTCTAAAGATTTCTAAAGATTTCTAAAGATTTCTAAAGATTTCCAGAGGTTTCTTAAGATTTCTAAATATTTCTAATGATTTCTAATAAAAATATAAACAAGAAAAATGATGATTAAAGGACTTTTATTTTAATTTTTGGACATTAGGAAAGAAAAATGGTGAAGTATAAGGTATGTAAGGTGTGTAAGATGTATAAGGTGTATAAGATGTAAAAATTAAAAAAAAAAATATAGATATATATATATCAAAGAAGGATACCTTGGATGATGTACTTTAAAAGTTAAATAAAAAGAGAATAGAACGACTTCTTTAATAAATTATAAAGAGAGGTATAATGAAAACGCGAAACAAAGTATAACAAATTGATCAAGAACGAGAGAAGAAGAGAAGAGCGAGAGAAGAGCGAGAAAGGATAGAGTAAGATAAGGAAAGAAACATACCAACAAGCAACCTTTTATCGATTAAATACGAAAAGAACTAAAGAGAAAGAGGATAGATAATAAACTTTTTACGTGAATGTCGTGAAAATTGATAAAGCTAACGACGAAAGAAAGTGCACAACAACTAGTAACTACTGTTGGAATGGATAGAAGTTGAAGGTAAAGGATGGCATTTATATGTATTTTCGCCAATAGTTGCAGATCGGTAGGGTTCACCGGATTAATTAGGGACCATATTACGAGTATATTACGGAATCTTTTTATTGTATAGGAAACCCCGCCATTCATGGTGACATCAACATCATTAATTTAAAATTATTTATTTATGATATTATAAATAAGTATATAAAGTATATAATTAAATATATATTAATTATATATTTGATAATATAATGAATAATATTATAATGAATAATATAAAAGCAAGTATAGAAAGTTAATTAATCAGATGGTAATCAATTGGCAATCAACTGATAGTTATTGATTATTCTCAACGATTCACATATAACGACGAATCCCAAGCTTCGAAGCGATTCAATTGATTTTATTAACACGAGAAAATGGTACGAGTGATATCATAAACATAAGAGGAATAACAAGTTGTATTCTAAAAAAAGGTATATCAATCATTTTATCACTAAAACCATCAAAATCTACACGTGAATTAAAACTTTCTCGCGTATTAAACTTTTAGTTTTCATACTCGAGAAAGCTTACGAACCGGAGTATATACTCCGGATTTCGATTATCCGTTATCGAAAAATTTTTCACCAGGTCGTACAAAAGTATCGTGACCAATTGGAATCAAAGATATGCCGCAGACAATGCAGCTTTTTACTTTTTTTGTCTATTAATTTTTTTCTTGTGTATCAATTTTCTCTATTTCCTTGATTTATATTATATTAGAAAGTAAATATATAAAATTATATATATATTATTATTATATATATAATCTTATAATATTATATATATATATTATTATTATATATATAATCTTATAATATTATATATATATATATATTATTTATAATATTACATAAATCTATCAAATATAATACGTATCACATAAATATATATACATAAATATGTATATGTATATATGTATATGACATACATATACATATATATGTATATTTCTAATAATATACATATACATAATATCTAACCATATCTTGCTATCTTGCTTAAATATTACTTAATACAAAAACGATCGACAAAATGATATAAATGATTAACGTTAACGTTAATTTTCCGGACGGAACGTTCAAGAACAAAGGCAATCTAAGGCGTATTGTAACTTTCAATTAACTGGATTACCTAATAACACTGGTTGGCGTTCATGGGAATTTTCTAGCACGTAACTTGTTATAACTTTCTATGAATTTTATAAATAAATTCTTTGCATCTAAATCAATTTAACCATGTTCCTTTCTTTAACGTTAATTAACCTTAATTACAATTAATTAACATTAATGGTTTAATCAATTTTGTAATCAATTTTATAATCAATTTTGTAATCAATTTTATAGTCAATTTTATAGTTAATTTTTATAGCCAATTTCATAGTTAATTTTATAGTTAATTTTATAGTCAAATTTATAGTCAAATTTATAGTCAAATTGATTGTCAACTAACGTCAATTAGAATCAATTAACGTCAATTAATATTAATATTAACATTAACATTAACATTAATAAACTGAATAAACTAAAAAATTTAAATTAAATACCCCAGAAAGAATAATTACTTTCAGGGTATATTAATCGCTAAATGACTCATTGTTCTTGCAGCTTTGTTTATACACTTTATTCGTGTTGCCATATTTTACCTTTTATATTATTAAAAACTGAAACATTCTGTTATGACACTTTTTTGACGTGTAACAATATACGATCTACAATCTTGTTTAATTCCAATTGAGGTCAAATTCCCTTATCAGGATAAAAGATCAAGTAAGTGGTATACGACTCGGAGTTTTCAGCACGAGTTTCCATTATTAAAGTTAATTTCATCATAACTCTATTTAAGTCTTAGCCTTTTTTTCTCCTATTATAATTTTAGAATTCTGAAAAGAACGTCGTGTAACAATTATCGATGAAATCTGGCGTTTCTACTTTTATCCCTTTTCATCCCTTTTCATACTTCCCTTTTCATGTTTATATGCCCCAAGTTCTTTTATGTTCTTTTATATTACTTAATGTTCTTTTATGTTACTTTATGTTACTTTATCGGTTATGCTTCTAATTACTTTTTTGTGCTTCATTTTACTTTTGATTTTGATTTACTTGATTTGTAATGTCATTCATACATGATCGTGTAGCTTGAAATTGTCTTTTTTGACTTTGCTTCAATTTATTGAATATGGTTAAGTTTTTTATCATTAATAAATCCCGAGTAATCTAAAAAAAAAGCTTCTAATTCTTTTAATCTTCTATTTTTACCATTTTGTTTCATAAATTTTGTTTTTTTTTAATCTGTAATCGATTAGTCGTACGTACGTACGCACGTACACACGCACGTAAAAAGTCCCGTGACATGCTGTGAAACCTGTCAATTGAAACTAAAAATCAAATCTGCGGGTGATCTCATTTATTTGTTAGTTTTGACCACGTGGTAATTAAAGTTTTTGTCAAAGCGTCTGTCAATAAGGCAATAAGGTGAAGTATTTATTTTTAGTCACATGTTTGGTCGTTTTTAATTCCAATGATACAAAATATTCATTTTTGATACTTTTTGCACCTACTTTTTTGATCCATTTAAACATACATAACAACGTGCGACCTTATTGGTTAGTTTTAGGGTATATCAAAAAAGTAGGTCAAAAATGTATGTTTTGCTTCAATAACTTTTTCATGTGAATTGTCATGTGAATTGTCATGGTCATGTGTCGTAGATTAATACTATCTATGTAAATCTTTATCGATGCATTTATTTTTATCGATATATTTGTCCTATATGTTCATATTTGGCGTACTTTTTATACGTACCAATTATGAAATTACCTTGTGTGAAAAAAATATGAATTCTATCAAGTTTTATCTATGACTCATAATTAACTTCCAATGCAATTTATTAATATTATTATTATACTATTATTATTAAATTTTTTTATCTGAAATACTTACCCATACTTGTACTATATTTCTTACTTTGAATTCATTACGATTACATTATTAAATAGTGACCCAACTTACGTATGGTTTTTATTTTAGTAATTTAGCCGCTCATGATTTTCTTCTATTGTATTAGCATTTTAGGAAACTTACCAGAATTATTACATATTATAAAGAGATACTAAATTTATCTAAAAATCTGCTATCCAATTTTGTTATAGTTGTATACCCAAATATATATATGCTTATTAATCAATTGTTAGTAAATAATTATTATATACGTATCTTTAAATATATGTTAATGTTGTAATACATGTACAGTAAACTTAAATCTAATTGAATAAATTTGAATAATATTAAATCATATTGTAAATTATATATATATATATATATATTATATATACGCATATGTTCTACATATTGTATTATCGCTTTCACAAACATGAATTCACATGAACTCACCAAGGTTTTTCTATTAGTTATTCAATAAGAGTTTTATGCCATTAGCTTAATTATTTGAATTATTTAATGTAACTTGTAAGTTTCCTTGGTAAACTGCATTAATTGTAGTACATAAAAAGTATAATTCAGAATTCAAATACAGTTGCACCTTCCTAAGTGCATTCTGTTAGGACCATAGTATAACAATTCAAAATTTTGCTCTTATAAGTTGAGGCCAAACCGTATTATGCATTTAAAAAGGTTTTGCATAGTACTTGCACTTAGGGGTATGTAACTATAATTAGTAATTACTATAATAGAAATTTGTTTAAGAAATTATTTTGTTTATATTAATCTAGTTAATATAATAATACATACTACAGTTATCCTTCTCTATAGTTACGTAGCTGGGATAGTAGTAAGTTTTTTAAAAATGTGTTTATAAAAATATTGTACTTATATAAAAGTTTTTTTTATACTTTTATAATAATTTGTTTAACAAAATTAGGTGCTTATATAGAGGTGTGATTATCAAAATATAACTATATAGAGGTTTGACTGTATATGTATTTTTATTAATATACAATTTTTTTTTTCTTTTTTCACTATTCTGAAGGTCCTTAAACATTTTTAGAATCTGTTACATCTCTTTAAAGGCCAGAGTTATTATTCAGCAAAGATCATCAGACAGCATGTGGCTTTTATATTCATTATTATACTTATAAAAATAGCTTATACTCTGTTAAATCTATTATATAATTTTCTAGGTCTTTGGTTCCACAATGTAGAACCTATTATCTTTTTATTTAGTTTGTAGTGCTCTAACTTCATATGGGGGTGAGTCAATAGAAAAGGGACAAATCATTTTTAATGAAATTTTTTTAATTTTTAAATTTAAATAACTCAACAACTATTTAATCAAATCTGCTAAAAATATTTTTATTTTAATCTTGAAATTATATAGAACTAAA